TTGGTGTGAAATCGTTGTGGTTTGAGCCCTTCATCCACTCGTATCAATTTTAACGGTTTCGAGTGAATAGAACTTTTTACATGGCTCGACGGAGGGTCAAAGCACAACGAGTTCACACCAAATTTGGTGTGTTGGGGTTTTAGAATATGTAGATCAAGTTTTAACGGAGGCGGATCATCCATAATGTAGGCTCAATCAAGTAATCATCAATGGATAAGAAACTCAGTGGACGTCCACTTAGGTTGACAGAAGTTTTGCTCTATATATATATATATATTATATATATATAATATATATATATATATTATATATATATATAATATATATATTATATATATATATATATATATATATATATCACACACACTAGACCAATAGCACATTGAAACCTACAAATAGTCCCTCATATATACACACTAGACCAATAGCACATTGAAACCTACAAATAGTCCCCTCCCTCCGGCCTCGCTCTATTCCTCGAACATCTCAAAAGAAAGGGTCTTTCTTCTAATGGAGGCCGTCTAACGGAAGCCCCACCTCCCTCCCGCTTCCTCATCGAAGACCTGGACAACTTCGCCACCCCTCACCTCCCCTCCCCTCCCCCTTCCTCCTCCCCCCGAACCCTAGCCCTAACCCAAACCCTACCCTCCTCGTCCTCCTCCTCTCCCCCTCCTCCTCTCGCCTCTCCCCAATCCCACGCCACCCTCTCCTCCTCCCCTCTTCCTCCCTGAGCTCCCTCTCCTCCTCCTCCCCCATCAACCTCTTCTCCGTCTCCGACAGCCCTCCGTCCAAATCGCCTCCGTCCCCTGCCGCGTCAGCCCTAGCCGCTCCAAGGCCGTCGCCAGGCTATTGCTCTCCCAGTTCGCCGCCGCCGCCGTCCTCGTATTCGACTGCGATCAAGCCGGAGAACTACAGGGGGCGGCTGGCGGCGGACGAGGGGAACCGATGGTGTTCAAGATGGAGACGAGGAGGAGAGGAGGTCGGAGGAGGAGGACAAGATGGTGAAGGGCTTGGAGTGGTTGGGTCGGGGAGCCTGTGGATGGGCTCGGGGCGGCTGTGATGGGGGAGTGCGAGATGAGGCGGAGGAGGGCCGCGGCGGTGGTGGCGGCGGCGGCGGCGGAGGGGAGAGTGTGTGGCTAGGGTTTTCAAAGAGGTGATCAAGGGGTTTCGGTGTCGCTGTTGGGGATGGTGATGAGGGGGGGATCATGGGAACTGGATCTTGGATGGAGTCTGATATCTATACCTGATGAGGTAGATTTTTTTGAGTTTGATGTTTTTCAGAGAATATGCTGTTTTTGTTTTAATTGTGGTTTAATTTACGGGATATTGAAAACGAGAAAGGGTTGAGCTTGATTTGGAGGAACATTTGATTAATTGTTGCTTGCTACTGCTCTGTGTTGTTCATGGGGTTAAAAATAAGGCTCAATAGCACTTAGTTTCACACCTATAGCACTTGTATACCTTCAAATTGTATTTTGTAGCATTTATATACCCTGAGTTGTTCAAAATTGACGCGTTAAATGCCCTTTGTTATGCAAGTATGAAAATTTTCATTCGGAAGTTCCCATATAACGTTCATATGTTAATTTTAGTGGTTTTTAACCATTAATATTTGTTAAGATATTATTAAACCTACCTAAATTCTAATCTAGTTGTATCCTAATTCTATTTTTAAAATAGAATTTTGAAATATTTAGTAATGAATTCAACAAACTTAATAGATATCAAGTCATAAAATTAGCGTATGAATGCTATGTAGGAACTTTCGGATAAAAATTTTCATGTTTGCAAAACAAATGGTATTAATGTGCTAATTTTGAAAAACTCAGGGTATATAAAGGCTACAAAATACAGGTGAGGGTATATAAGTGCTAAAGGAGTGAAACTATAAGGTATTTAAGTGCTATTTAGCCTAAAAATAACTATGTTTTGAACTTGATTTGCTATTAGGAAGCTGGATAATATATTTATTGTATACTGAGGAACAATTCTTTCCTCACAATCCTATGTCAATTTCTTTATTTGCGAGTGGGGATATTTTCAAGCTAATAGGCAAAGATACATCAGTACGGTCTAAATTCATAACAATTTGAGCGGAGAATGCTTATCATTTTGATGTGATTTGCATAAGGAAGCTTGATGTTCAGAGATTGCTTTTCTAGAAGTCATATGTTTGAAGAAGGAATTTACTTGAAATGTAAGCATCATGTTTAGAATGTGTTTTACATGTGTGTTGGAATTGTTTGTGTTTTAACAGTAAGATAATCTCTTTGGCACTTCATTGAGTATCCTTTTTGCACTGTGGTGAGCTGCAGTACGTAGCATAAGTGATTGGAGCCATTCCTCACTGATGCTCATTGAAAGACAGGTCACATGTAAGAGATTGAAATTATGCGAAAATACTTGAAATTGGGGTTGTCAAATGGGTGGTTTGTGTTGGTTTTTGGTTGGGTCATAAATGGGTGAGACATTTATGACCACTTGATCATTTATGGTGACTTCTCACCTACCCATTTACTAAATGGGTGGCTCATGGGTGACCCAATACCCCGTTTAGCCATGGTGCTGATATATATATCTAAGTTTTAGGGGTCTACTTGCAAATGTGAGGGCATACTTGCAAGTTTTTGAGGAGGTATTTGCAAACATTAGGGGCCTTTTGCAAACATTAGGCGAGCTTTCTGCAAACTCAGGTTTTTTTTTGCAAACTAGAGGGTTTTTCTGCAAACTATGAAGGGCTTTTATGCAAACTATTGAGGGGGCTTTTATGCAAACCTTTAGGGGTTTTTTTTGCAAAATTTTAAGGGGTTTTCTGTAAACTTTTGGTCATGTAATAGCTTTGTTATATACTATAAAACTTTATCCTCCCTCAACTTATTAGTTAGAGCTTATGCGCCAAGAAAGCAATTGTCATGTAGGTTTCACTGTGATGACTTGAAGCATTAAAATGCACAATGCATTTACGAGTAAATGGTAGCGTAATTAGTGACCAATCCAAAGAATATTTATATTATGAAAGACAATATGACAGTTTGGAATTGGAATTTGAAGATATCTCCACGATCTCTGATTACAACGGCAAACATTTGGTTAGTGAACACAAAAAGGCTAAACCAAAAACCAAGAAAGAATCTTCAAGAAGAGCTCCATGCCTACCTGAAATTGTCAGAGAATTGAGAGACATGGCAAGGGCGAGAGCAAGAGCTAGGGAGAGGACTAGAATGAAGAAACTTGGAGTTCAAGATAACTTGTTATCCATTAATGAGTAGGAATCTGGTCACGATCTTAAATCTTCATTGGATCTTGTAGCTGGAGTTGTAGAACAATGTTCAACTTCAAAAAATCATGCTGCTCAATTCAACAATGCTGGAAGAGAAAACGAGCTTTCGGTTAGTATTGTATGATAATATGCTTGTGACACTAATATAAAAAGAGTGCAAATAGGGTGAATATGGTAACAAAAATTGAATAGAAAATCAGGTTTGTATTCGTCAACTTTCGCCACACAAGATGAGATGGTATTATTCTCACCTTTATTTGTATTTTTCTGAAAAAGAAACACAAACTGTGTCTTCTTTGGGGTCACAGAGATGATTGTTCATGATGCATCTGCTAGTGAATTGGAGGCGAAGTATTTGTATACAAAATGTGATGAGCTAGAAACTAATAAGCCAATCAAAGTGGTCAATAATACTCGTCAAGTATCTAAATTAAAGATTCTACGCTTCTACAATAAGACTTGCTATATGGTATATCGCTTTAATTATAGTTTAAGCTTTTGTAAATCAATGCAACTGTCATCCATATACTCCCCGATTAGCTGCCATATGATATTTCTTATCAAATCTCCGTGTAAAGAAGATGTTAATGATTATCTCAAAGAGTACACAATTGTGCAAACTCACAGTTTCATTGTAGCGACTCTGATGCTTGCAAAAAGTTTTGCGTATTTGTTATTTTTTGTAAAATTCAAAAGTAAATGTCAGTGAAAGAGCTTATAACTATATTAGGTTGAGGAATATTAGCATGCGTGTATGTAATGAATATGGCCACGAAAGGAGTGAAAAAGAACATGAGAGTGGAGTTTCTTGATTCAATAGTGCTCCTCTTACTAGAAGGAGTAATGCTAGAGGGATCCAAACCCATGGGACAGAGGAGGGGACATGTGAGGTGTTCCCTCCCCATTGCTCCATGCACTGTTCATGAACAGTGCATGGAGCAATGGGGAAGGGACATCTCACATGTCCACTGTTCATGAACAGTGCATGGAGCAATGGGAGAGGGGACGCCTCACCTGTCCCCTCCCATGTACCATGGGTTTGGGTCCTTACGTAATTTCCCTACTAGAAGTGTACCTGGTGTTTGTTCAAATACCTAGAAGACAATTTCCCTACTAGAAGTGTACCTGGTGTTTGTTCAAATACCTAGAAGACAAAATCCTGCAACTCATAAACTATAGTTAAGTTGGAATAATAATGTAATAAAGTCATATTCCAAAAATTGAAGACATATGAAGATGCGAAAAGATAGTCCGCCAGAGCCATTTGTTGTTGGGATAGGAGAGTTCACACCATCACTGGTACAAAACAGGACAGCCCAAACGGTTGGAACTATTTGGGAAAACGCACTCCCAAACGGTTACAACCGTTTGGGCTAAAGCCGTTTGAGAAGAGTCTATCCCAACAGTCGTCCAAACAGTTACAACTGTTTGAACAAAATCCCAAACGGTTATAACCGTTTGGACAGAGTAATATTATCCAAACGGTTACAACCGTTTGGCCAGAAATTTGGCCAAACGGTTGTAACTGTCTGCCCAAACGGTTGTAACCGTCTGACCAAATTTTTGGCCAAACGGTTGTAACCGTTTGGACTATGTATTTTAATATTTTTTAAATTTTGACTATTTTATTTATTTACCTATTTACATTTAATATACACATCTCACACAATAATTATTCAAAATATCTCACAATGAAATAAAAAACAAATACACAAAAATGTCTCAAAAGGTGTTGAATATCCGATATTATATATACATACACAATGATTACTCAATATATAATATTAGAGACAAAACATATACATACACAATGATTACTCTATATCTCACAATGAAAAGTATCCAATATTATATATTTGTCTCTAATATCCAAAATGTCTCAAACATCCAAAATAAGATTAGGAGTGGCCTAATCCATCCAGTCAAGGAACGGAAGAAATTCCTAGAAGAATGTCCTCCTGGGACAAGCCCGGACGCCCCAGGTCTGCAAATATCCTAATAAGATTCTCATGTGATAAATCCTGACCACTAGAAGTAGGAGTGTTAGTAGTCGAAGCAGGACGAGCAGAATGTGGTATATCAGTCAAAAGAGAGATGACATATGCTACAAATAAGTGGAACGAAAGTCACACAAGCCATCTTAGCAGCAATGTTTTGTAAATCAATCTTTTGGACGAGCTTTAACTGTTACCTTCTTCCCTGCGTTATCAACAACAACCTGAAATGTAGAAGGTTCTTCAAAAAGTAATGATTTAAAAGAAATTATACGATATACATAAAAGATACAAGAGTATAACTAAAAAGATACTATACTTAGATGCATACTTCTGCAAGATCTCCTTTATAGATCTGAAGTTTCATGTGAACCCATATGTCTTTGCTTTCACCTGAAAGTACGTCGGTCCTTTCTTTTATGAGAACTAGCATCACCTTAACGGAACTGAATATGTTCCATAGACCTTTGCAAGCATGCAGAATGAGGACCGACTCATTGGTTAGAATAAAAAGAGTAAAAAAATAATTCCTGTAATGCTAGTCATTGAATGGGAATAAAAGGATCACATTCATACCTTTTTAAAATGGGATTTGACAGCTTCAACATTGACATAGTTTTTAAGATGATCTGATGCAATTAGTGATGTGATCCGAAGCTCAGGCCTGAACAATCTGACAAACATTAACAATGAGTTAAAACTATGTGAAATAATCAAACAAATTAAAGAACGAAGGTCCTACAGCACATTTCACCCCCCACAACTTTATAGAGTAAAATTTTGATCTAAATAGACTAAACAAATGTAGCAATATGTGGAAATATACAAGAAATACGTATTGTCATCATGAGAATATTTGAGCTAACAATCAATTAAAGCTGCCCAGCTCATTTTCTCTTTTCCTCTCAATTCTAGTCAATTCTGCAAAAACCTCATAAATGTGCGCGCGCGCATGCGCTTGTGGGAGTCAAGGATCAAATCCGAAGCAATATGACAAATGGAATTCTCTGAATTGATGATTTGACAAAAAGATTTAACTAATTATAGATGAAGAACAAAAATAAAAAAGAATGTTTACAATTATCTTTTAAACATCTCGCTTCTATTCTGTTTGATGTTCACATTGCAGCATGGAAGCATAGTCTTGTTAAAGTCTAAATGATGTTCAAACAATGCAACTCTAAGTTCCATTCTCAATTTACCTCAAGCTTCTCAGATAGAAATCTAACTTTCAATTTCCAATTGCTACGTTGAAATCATGAGAATCAATTGAATAAGCTTTAGTTCTCTCTTTTATATAAACCCTAATTCAATCTCCCGCTACAAGTACAGAAAAGTAAAAGCAATTCAATTTCCAAAGTCAAATAATATACCAAACTCATCGGTTTCAATAAACAAGGGCGAGATTAGAACAGAAAACCTAAATTAATTTACAATTGAAAAGAATCGAAACCCTAACTTACAACTTACAAAACCCTGAGTCACTAAATTTCCCAAATTGAGGAAATACGTCAAAAATATTCGAGTAAAAACGGCTGATTCAAGAATCAAAATTCCTATGAAGCAATAAAACTTGGGAATTCATAATACATATTTACAAGAGATCTTTGACAGATGACATGTAAATTTGGTCAGGGTCAGGTTAAAAGCTTCCCTAATAGAGGGATAATAGAGCTGGTTTCAGTGACCTAAGATTGTTGTCTTGGAATAAAGAACATTACAGTGGGTATAGTCAAAAAAAAAAAAAAAAAAAAAAATGAAATATCACTTGTAAAGTATTAATCCGCTGAGCAATAGGATTAAAAAATATAACAGTAAAGTTGCAACCAAGGCCTGCAGCTAAAATCTAGTTACTAAAAGTTAAGTAATCACTAACCAAGATTGTTGTCTCGAAATAAAGAATATTACAGTGGTTGTAGCCATAAAAACAAAATGAAATATCACTTGTGATGTATTAATCCGCTGAGCAATAGGACCAAATGGGTAATAGTGAAGTTGCAAACAAGGCCTGCAGCTAAAACCTGATTACTGAAAGTTAATTAATTTTAACTAGCCTTTTGATAACAATATAAAGTCCTAAAACAGGTGCAAGTAAGAAATAGGTTGGAGGTAACAATGCTGAATACAAGATACAGAGATAAGAGACTAATGAGGTCCCTAAACTTCTTTCAACAATCCAACTGAGAAATAAATTCAATATAAATGAAAAAAATATCATAACATAGCACTTTTACCTCTCCCTGCAAAGCATAATGACCTATCAAAACCTAGTTGATCCAAGAATATTAAAGAAACCCAAGATTAAGTCGGGGAAGCAAGCGAACGTCGGGGGAGCGACCTTCGCGAGCTACGGCGAGTCGTTCAACAAGGGAAGCGACAGTTTCAAGGGCTTCGGAGAGGGGTCCACCGACGACCCGTTCAACTTCACCATTTACGCCGGTGAGCTCTCGAGCTTCAGAGTATACTACAATCTCAAGAACAGGAACTGGTTCTCTTCAAGCCCTACGTCAACGCGTCAACGGTGTCGAAGGAGGCCGACGTGGAGGCGGCGGTGGGAGCGAATGGAGATGCAATGAGATGACGTGGGAGGTGGCGGCTGGAGCGGAGGAGGAAGAAGATGGCTGCAGGGATTTGAGAGATTGGGCGTTGAGATGAGGGATTTGAGGGGATGAGGTCAAGGGCGTGGGGAATTTTAGATTTGGGATTTTTTTTTTTTTTTTTTGGGGGGGGGGGGCGCGGGCGGAAGAGAACGGAGCCAAGGAGATTGTTTTTATTTATTTTTTAAAATAACTAAATCACCCAAACAGTTTAAACCGTTTAGGCTAAACATCCCCGTTTGGGGTTGTGTTTGGGATCTCCTAACAGTCCAAACGGTTTCCACCGTTTGGGTTTTGTTATTCCAAATGGTTTTAACCGTTTGGGTTATCTTTATTTGTCCAAACAGTTCTAATAACCGTTTGGACTGTTCTGTTTTGTACTAGTGCATTAGCATCATGGATGCCTTTAGACATCACAACAGTTTGCTCACTGGATAAAGATAAATATGAATTAGTCCTCAAATGGAAGCATCAAATGCCAAAAGAGAGCTTACATTAGCAGAAAACGTCGAAAAGTCAGATTTTCATGATGCACAATGAGCCTGGAAAAATGGCTCCACCGACTTTAATACTTGAAAGGCACCAACTTATAAGGAAGAGAGAAAATACCTCAAATAGAATACACATCTAGATTTCGCCTTCAAATTCAAAAATCTGAATATCACTAAAATCATGCACCAACAAATGTCCTTCTTCAATATCCGCCAAAGTTGCATTTAGATCATAGGAAACAACTATGTTAATCTAATATAACACAAACATGTACACCATAAATTTACAAAAAGTAACAAGAAAAAGTAAGCAACTTACAAGAAATCTCATCTAACCAAGAACTGGTGCATATTTGAGCTTTAGTAATTTCCGCAAGAATACAATTGCAATACTTATCAAGCACACGATCAGCTATGCTGAAAGCAGATTCAGAGGCCACTGAAGTGGTAGGGATATTGAGTATATCACGAGTCATCATGGACAATTGTGGACGCTTCTCAGATTCTGCTTTCCAATATTCAAGAACATTCAAAGTCTCATTTTTCTTCCAACAAAACATCTTTTCATCTAAATACTCTTCTAACTCAGACTTGGTCTTATTGATTGAAACTAGTTGACTCTCAAATTGTTCAAACTCAAGCATATCATCACCACGAACATCTCTAAAGGTCTCTTCTAAACTACTACCAACCATGTATGTATCATTTGATGCTCTTTCTTTTTACGTTTAGATACTGTTTCATTATCAGATTCACTACCATCATCACATGCGGTAAATTCATTCAAAGACATAATAACCGAAATTAAAAAATAACTATTTAATATCAAATCAAATATTGAAAGTTAATAAAATAGTTTTTTGGTATATGTTACATTCTCATATATAAACTGTTTAATACAAAAATTGAATGAGCCACAACACCTATTTTTATCTAGTTATCCCATCTGTTGCAGCAGGGGGCTTCACAGACACAGAAGATGTATATACAAGAGTGAAGAATAACAACACTAAATAAATACAGTGAAGAAAAAGAGAACAGCACACAATGATTTAACGTGGTTCGGTCAGTATGATCTACGTCCACGGGCGAGAACAACAGAGAACTTTACTAATCACAAAAGAGAATGTTACAAAGAAGAAATCACTCTCTAACCTCACTAGAGAATCACACAAAAAAATTTCTCTTTCTATCTCTCTCTTCTCTCAAACTCTGTCTCGATCGCACTTAAACCTTTCACCACTACCCTCTATTTATAACCTTCAAGGGTTGGTGGTGTTTTTTTGCGTTTGGTGGAATAGTAAAGGGGGTAGGTGGAATAGTAAAGTTAGGTGAACTTTATTTCTTCATATGCAAAGTTAAAAATATACAACAAATCTTCACATTGACTTTGATTATAAAAATCTTCTCTTTACTCTTGTTGTTTCTCCAGAAGCTCATTACGGGCTTAACCTCCACTTTATTGAATTCCAAGCAATTCAAGACAATGCTCGAATTTGCGCGAAGGTACGAGCTTCGTCATGTACAAGTTTTTTATCTTGAGCCACAAGTCGCCGGTGGTATCTTCATTGGCAATCTCTCACAGAATCTCATCGGCCAAACAGAGCTGTATGATACTATGCACCTTCATCTCTAGCTCTTCTTTCTCACCATCAAACATAAGTTCTGGTAACTTATCCTTTCTGGACAAGACTTTGAACAAATATTGTTGTACTAGGAGAGCCATCATTTTTACTCTCTACAAACTGAAGCTGTTTTTTTCACCGAATTTCTCCACTTTGTATTTTGCAGAAGACATCTTGAAGCCCACTAGAATAGTAACCTAAACCAGGCTCTGATACCAGTTTGTTGAAGCAAAAATCTCTAACGAACAAGCTCTACTTGAAGCAACGCCTCTTCACCCTTCGCATGAAGGAATGTATGCGAATTAAAGACCACTTAGATGAACTTAACACTATTCTTATGGATTTAAAGAATATTAATGTTAAAATCGACGAAGAAGAGCTGGAGATAAAGGCACATAGTGCCATACAGCTCTGTTTGGTCGATAAGATTCTGTGGGAGGTTGCCAATGAAGATATCATCGCCGACTTGTGGCTAAAGTTGAAAAACTTGTACATGACGAAGCCCGTACCTTCGGGCAAGTTCGAGCATGGTCTTGAATTGCTTAAAATTCAATAAAGCGGAGGTTAAGCCAGAAAGGGGCTTCTGGAGAGACAGCAAGAGTAAAGAGAAGCTTTTTATATTCAAAGTCAAGGTGGAGATTTGTTGTATATTTTTGACTTTGCATATGAAAAAACAAAGTTCACCTAACTTTACTATTCCACCTACCCCCTTCACTATTCCACCAACTCTTGAAGGATATAAATAGAGGGTAGTGGTGAAAGGTTTAAGTGCGATCGGGACAGTCAGAGTTAGAGAGAAGAGGGAGATAGAAAGAGAAATCTCTTTCTTTGTGTGATTCTTTAGTGAGGTTAGAGAGTGATCTCTCCTTTGTAATCTTCTCTTTTGTGATTAGTGAAGTTCTTTGTTGTTCTCGCCCGTGGACGTAGATCATACTGATCGAACCATGTTAAATCTTTACATGTTGTTCTCTTTGTCTTCACTGTGTTTATTCAGTGTTGTTATTCTTCACTCTTATATAGACATCTTCTGTGTTTGTGAAGCCCCCCACCGCAACATCTGTTAGATATAAGTGCCCTGCAAGCAATAATTGTATATTATAACAGGACATATATGAATATAACACCATTGTTCAAAATAATAGTATGCTATTTTGGTTAGATTTATCTGGTGTTTTAAATACAGATAAAGTCCTTATAATGATACTAGACTATCAGACATTTCAGATATGATCGTAATGAAGAGATCTGATTTGTTACTAACATATATTCTAAAATGTTCCTAGTTGATGAAGTGTTGAAATAAGACATCATCACTTTGGAAAGACTAGTGTGTACTCTATTTCTCCTTTGGTAGGATGATGATCAATCTCTTGGATCATTGATGTGAGACATCAAGATATATATTATACAGGTGACTCATTAGTGAATGAGTTGACTGAACGACTCACTGAGAACATCTAGTTGGTAATTATACTTAACTATCAAATAGAAGTTCTCAAGTGATATTGTACAAAGTAGTCTCTTGACCTAAGGTATGGGTGCAATATCTTACATGTCAGTATAGGTGTACTTAGACTTTTACCTAACCACAGTTCTCAATGAGTTGTGCATAACGATTTTTGTTGGGTGCATCCCGAGACATAAGTAGATATTAAGATGCCAAGATGGGATTCGTCTCTCCCAGTTAGGGGGTTGATATCATAAGATTGTTTGATATAACTATAACCAAGAAATCCTTGGCCGAGGTAAATAAGATAAACTGAGTGTCAGTTTGATCCTATGGGTTATGAGTTTAATATCAACAAACATTAATCGAGCTATTAGGGTTTGACAGTTTTTCATACCCTAGGCTTGATAGTTTGACATTGTTTGATGAAGAGACCGGACTGTACAATATTATCACTGAGTGGTCCTGATAAAATTATATTAGCATCTTGCAAACATTTATCATAACTTATACCCGGGTAGTCTTCATGTGTAGCTAGCACCTTAGTTGTACTTGTGGATATCATCCATTGTCGAGTTCTTAAGTTAGGCTCTAGAGTCACACCAAGAGCATACTTGAATCCTACTAAACACAATTTATAGAGTGATGCGTATGATTGATACGCATATATGATTTTACCGGATACACATAAACGATTGTGTATATCGGTAAAATCAGAATGCTATGTGCTTAGGAAATGAATTCCACTATTTTTCCCATAAAGTTAATTTTTAGTCAACTAGTTTAATTTTTAGTCAACTAGTTGACTTTTTGGTCAACAATTGACTTTTTTGGTCAACAGTTGACTTTTGGTCAACTTATTGACCTTTTGGTCATATTATGACTTATTAGTCAATGATTGGAAAATTATGAAATACCGTATTTATAAAATACTGTATTGATGTGGTATTTTTATTTATGAAATACATACTTTATTATACCTTGATTAATGAGTTATAAGATGAATCATTAAGGTGGTATGGTTTGGGGACATGGTTTTAGCACATGGTTTTGATTCTTCATGACTCTTTGCATGACTCATGAGATGAGTCATTGCATGACTCATGACATTGTTTTGATGACTCATGGTGTGACTCATATGATGAGTCATTCATGTCATGACATATTCTTCCTCTATAAATATGAACTCTCTTTCTTCTTTCATGGTTAATGAAAAAAATAAAATAAATGATTTATTCATAGTTACTTTCCATAAAAGAAAAGAAGTGAGATCTACTTTTTACTAAACTCTAGCAATCTTTGAGTAAGAGGAAATAGTAGGATTTTTAAAGTACCCCGGGGTGGATATTTTGCCTTGTGTCTCAAGAAGATTCCGATTTTCTCAAGCTCACTTGAAGACTTGGAGATCCACTACGAGGAGATTTACTACTACAAGGACCAAAAGCTAGGGGTTATTCGATCTTCCATTGAATCATGCTTCGAAAGTATGACTTTCTAACTCGAAAGTATGACTTTCTAACTCTGGTATGCTCTC